CGAAGGAGAGAGTGGCGAAGATGGTACATAAGTTTATACTTCGTCAAACGCGTACGCGGTGACGTCCATAGCGACACCTCAGAGGAATACCGTGTAGAAGTTGTCATTTTCGATGAGTTTCCCTGATGCTGTCTTGCGTCTTTTGGACATGAAAATTACCAAAGAAAGAAAAGCGCACAGAACTTGATGAATGTGTTGTTTATGCCTACTATTAAAGTGGTGGATAATATTTGCTTATGTGACATATCAAGATCTGACCGGACACAAAATTTCACATAACTGAATGGTTTGTTCACTCTCGTGATTTGGTTTCATTTTTAGAAAATGCCATAAACCACGGTCGTCTGAAAACAGCATCCTTGTCATCTCGACGTCTTCTACACAAATGTATTCATTGCCCTGTATGCGTTTGATTATTTTATCCATATTCAACACAAATAGGAGAGGGGACAGAATGCATCCTCACCGGAGACCGGTGCCAAAGCTGAATGATCTCGAGATAACGCCATTTGCTAACTGTAACGTATCAAACGCTATAAATCTATAGTGAGTGAATGGTTTAAAATCGCAACTGCCCATCGATCCGATATGTTTGCAGACATACCCGTAGCTTTTTTGAGGGGGATCCCGTCACAGGCTTTCTCCAGGTCAACAAAGCACGTTTAAACCAGTGAAGCGAACTCCCATGATTTTTCAAGAATCTGGCGTAAGGAGAATAGTTAGCCAGAGAGCTACTTCGGCCGGACCTGTACCACATTACCCTTCCTGCATCTTACACTCAGATATTCCGCAAAACTTCGTCCCTAACCACTTTTAATATTCTTTTCCTGGGAGGCTCAATAATGCGATGCCCGATAATTTGGGTACTCCCTATGATTTCTCTTCTTGAACAGGTATATTACAATCGAAGTTCTCAGATTCCCTGGTGCCTTCTCCGTAATCGTTGCAGCATGACAGGCACGTGCTAGCTCCAACATGCCTTGTTCGCTTAAAACTTAAACTTAAAACATTTCAGAGCAGGTTTAATCGACTCCAGCAGCCTTGTCAACTTTTTAGTTTTATCCGTTTCAGCTTTTTCTGTGACTTCATCTGCTGAAAGACTGACATCCGCTGTCTGCTACTTCAGGTGAGTCTTATGGCGGTTGCTTTGGGTTACGGAGTTCTTCAGAGCACTCTCTTCATCGCTGAAGTCTGTTCTCCTGCTTGGAAAGTTTGCGTCAGGACTCGTCCTTCAGGACTCGCACACTGCCTTTCTTTCCATCTCAAAGGTGGCAGGTTGTCCGCCAGAATACAGTTTGCCGTCTAGAAATTTGAATCCATCACTTCACCGAACTTTTTCCAGGAATCAGTTTTCTCGTTGGTCACTACTTTCACTGGTGCCTTTGGGCGTTTCGTCGTACTGCATTGAAGTTGAATGTTCTTTGCTTCCAAGCCCATTGTTTTCGCTGACAGCTAGTTGATTCTCTGATCTCCATAAAGAAGTTCATTTCTGATTTCAAGGTGGGAGGCCTAAACGTTTGAATTCACAGCATTAGGCCGCAGCCTCGAGAATGGCGCTGTTAAAGAGCTGCCACTGTTTCAACATCACCGGAATCT